TGACTTCATCCTTCATGATCACTGCCTCTTGATCATATGCTACCTCTTGAAATGTTTCAACATAGACCATATCTTTTTGGTATAGTAACTCTGTGTATTCCTTCCATATTCTTTTGACGTTTTCTGAATCATTAAATATTCTGCCCATAAAATCCTTCAATATTACAAGTTGAGGCTTGAATTCTTTTTTTTTTTTTTCAGATCACTCAGAGAAATGCTAAGTGTGTTCTTCCCTTTTGGTATTGTAACTCCAGGACTTTACACATTTTCTTATAATATTTGATTTTGTCTTCTTAAGCTACTCTTTGAAATTTTCTATTCAACTCTTATACTTCCACTTTTCTTCCATTAGCTTTAGTATCTCTACGCTGGAAAGCAAGTTTCAGATTCTCTTCTGACCTCCATTTTGGTCTTTTCCTTCTTTCTTGTCTTCTTAATGACCTTTTGCTTTCTTCCTGCATGATGTTCTTGCTATCATTCCCTACTCTTCCGGTTTTCGGTCTTCAGTGTCTAATGAATCAAAACTGATGTCCAGATGATCTTTAAATTCAAGTGGGATATATTCAATATCATTATTTTGGATCTTGTGGACCTGTTTTAATTTTCTTCACCTTTAGGCTGGATTTGTATCAGAGCAATTGATGATCTGTTCCAAAGTCTGCCCCTGGCCTGTTCTGTCTGATGATTTGGAGCTTTTCCACCATCTTATTACACAGATGTAGTCCATTTGATTTCTGTATTTTCCATCTGATGAGGTTCATGTGTACAGTCACCTTTTATGTTGTTTAAAAAATGTATTTACAATGAAGAAGTCACTGGTCTTATAAAATTCTATTATGTGATCTCTAGCATTGTTTCTAGCATCAAGGCCTATTTTCCAACTACTGATCCTTCCTCTTTGTTTCCAACTTTTGCATTCTAATCACCAGTAATTATCAATATATCTTGATTGCATGTTTGTTCAATTTTAGACTGACGCAGTTGGTAGAATTATTGTATTTCATCATCACTGGCTTTACTAGTTTTGTGTAAATTTGAATAGCAGTGGTATTAATTGGTCTTTTTTGTGGGTATATGGATATTATCCTATCACAGACAGCACTGTACTTCAAAACACACCTTTATAAGTTCTTTTTGATGATGAACGTGATGCTACTCTTCTTCAGTTTGCCATTCATGGCATAATAAACTATGTTAACTGTCACTTTCAAAATGGCCAATCCCAGTCCATTTCAGCTCACTATGCATAGGATGTTGATGTTTATGTGTTCCCTTCTGTTGCTGACAATTTCCAAATTTCCTAGATTCTTATTTTATGCATTCCATATTCCAATTATTAATGGCTGTTTACAGCTGTTTCTTTTCATTTTAAGTTGTGCCCTATCAGCAAGTGAAGATCCCAAAAGCTTTAATATATTCACGTCATCCTGGTCAATTCTACTTTGAGTAGCCATCCCAGTTGAATGAGTGTCTTCCAACCCAAGGGGTTCATCTTCTGGCACTATATCTGACACTATTCTGGTGCCTTTCATCATGTTTCAATAGTCAATATTCGGGTGCTATCTAATAGTGTTTCACTGCTATTCATAAGGTTTTCAGTGAGTAAATATTCGGAAGTAGGCCATCTCTCCTTTTTCCTAGTCTGTATTCATCTGGAAGGTCAGCTGAAACCTGTCCACTGTGGAAGACCCTGTTGGTATTTAAAATACCTGTGCCATAGCTGCCAGCATGGCAGCAACATGCAAGCCATCACAGTATGACAAACTGACAGACAAGCAGTCTTTGTAAACTCCCATTGAATAAAGTTTTTCTGATGGGTCTGGGTAAAAGGTAGTAGACAAGGAAGCAGAAAGATTATATGATTCAATTGTGAGTGACTGTTTATTAATAGGATTAATATGAAAAGCTAGAACTCTTAACATGAATATGAGTCATCTCAGAAGAAGGGGGAATCTCACTACCATCAAAGAAGAGCTAAGAGAGGAGAATGTGCTTCATACCCCAAGAACTCTGTGTGTTGAACCTTCTTGATCCAGGAGGCAGAGCTGTGACACCAGAAGAGTGCCAGAGGAGAAGCAGCAGTAGAACACAGACTTGGAGCATGAGATATAAAGAGTTGGACTTGCTGACCCACAGAGCAAGTAAAGTCTGATACCTTGAAGGCAGGAAATTCATTTGAGGAGTGGGGTGCCTCCAGGTACTTAAATGGGAAGCTAGATTTGCTGATTCACAGAGCTAGAGCTGAGTGCCTTAAGGCTGAGGCTTACAATGGAGTAGTGTGTTTTGGAGGGGGGGGGCAATTTTCAGTAGTCCTTAAAGAGCTATTTAACACTACCCAGGCAAAATGAGGTTTGCTTGTGGGCATAACTATGAAAACTATGCTGTCCTGACTTGAAGAAATACGAACTGAGCATTTCTGTCCCTGAAATAGTAACCTGGCTCTTCCCTAATAAGCCCTATCACTTTGAGTATGGTATCTGAGTTCTGTATGGTCAGAACCCAGCTGAGTACAGACTGCTTTAGGAAGGAAAGTTTAGTGCCATTTTTTTATTAACTACTATTAAACCTGCTTGCAAGTTAGGCCATAAACATACATGTAATTCTGCTATTTTTTTCTCAAAAAAATTAGGCTTATGTAAGTAACATTTTGGGTTGAAATTAAAAAAAAAAAAAATCATGAAAGAATTATAGAATTATAAGAAACCCTATTTACCTGTCAGAATTTGTACTGTATCTATTAGAAATTTTGGCCAGCTTGTCATACTATGATGGCTTGCATATTGCTGTGATGCTGGAAACCATCCCACTAATATTTTAATTATCAGCAGGGTCATGAAACATGGTAGACATGTTTCAGTAGAACTTCCAGACTAAGACAGTCTAGGAAAAAAGAGAGACAGACAGATAGACTACTTCTAAAAGTTTAGTCATTTAAAACCTTATGAATAGCAGCAGAACACTGTCAGATATAGTATCTGAAAATAACTCAGATTGGAAGGTAGTCAAAATGCAACTGGGAAAGAGCTGCCTCCTCAACAAAGAGTTGACCATGATGACAAAAATAAAGAAAAGCTTTCAGGATGCTCATTTGCTGATGGAACACAACTCAAAATACGGAGAAACAGCTATAAACATCATTAATAATCAGAACATGGAATATACAAAGTATGAACCTAGGAAAATGGGAAGTTGTCAAAAATCACAGCATTAGCTGAAATGAACTGGTACAGGCCAATTTTAATCTGACAATCATATGGTTTACTATGAGAATTTCAAATTCAAAAGGAATGGCAAAACATTCATCATCAAAAAGAACATCTCCAAATCTATCTTTAAGTACAGCGCTGACTGAGATAAGACAATAGCCACACACTTACAAGGAAGACCAGTTAATACCAATATTATAAAAATTTACACATACCAACCATTAAAGTCAATGATGATGAAATTGTGCAATTCTATTAACTTCTTCAGTCTGAAATTGATCAAACATGTAATCAAGATGTACTAATAATTATTGATGATTGGAATGCAAAGGTTGCAAACAAAGAAAGAAAGGGTAAGTAGTTGGAAAATATGGCCTAGGTGATAGATATGATGCTGGAGATTGCATCACAGAATTTTGCAAGATAAATGATTTATTCATTGCAAGTATCTTTTTTAAACAACATAAAAGGTGATTATATACATAAAACTCATCAGATGCAATACACAGGAATCAAACTGATTATTATATCTGTAGGAAGAGATGGTGGAAAAGCTCAGTATCCTCAGCCAAAACAAGGCCAAGGGCCAACTGTTGAAAAGATTATCCAATGCTCACATTTTAAATTAAGGCTGAAGGTAGATTATAAGAAGAAAAATGTGGCATCAGGACTGGAGAAAGACAGATTAACGATATGTGATATGCAGATGAAACAACCTTGCATCCTAAAACCAAAGAGGACTTAAATACTTACTGATGATGATCAAAGACCATAGTCTTCAGTATGGGTTGCACCTCAATGTAAAGAAAACAAAAGGCCTCACCACTGGAGCACTACATAACATCATGATAATGGAGAAAAGACTGAAGTTGTGAAAGACTTCATTTTGCTTGGGTCAGTACTCATGGAAGCAGCAGCCAAGAAATCTAACGACACATTGCATTATGTCAATCTGCTGCGTAACACCTCTTTGAAGTGTTCAAAAGCAAAGACATCAGTTTGAGGGCTAAAGTTTGCCTGACCCACGCATGGCATTTTCAATCATCTCGTATACATGTGAAACTTGAATAATAAATAAGGAAGACCATACAAGAATTGATACATTTGAGTTATCGTGTTGGAGAGGTATATTCAAAGTACCATGAACTGCCCAAAAAGCAAACCAAGTTGTGTTGGAAGAAATACAGCCAGAATGCTCCTTAGATGACAGAATGGCAAGACTTTGTCTCTCATACTTCATACATATTATCAGAATGGACTAATCCCTGGAGAAGGACATCATGCTTGGTAAAGTGAGGGTCAGTAAAAAAGATACCCCAACAAAATGGATTGGCACAATGGCACCAGCAATGGGCTCAAGTGCAACAACTATTGTGAGAATGGCACAGGTCCGGGCAGTGCTTCATTTGTTGTAAACAGGGATGTTATAAGTTAGAACTGACTTGATGGCATCTGCCAACAACTACATTAGAAATGTGTTAATTTATATTTTAATAAAAGGTTCAGGGGATTTTCAAGCTATGCCTAGACCCATTACATAACGTCTTAAGTCATGCAGGCAAAGCTACTATAAAAATTGCCAAGATAAATATTGATATTATGGTACAACTTAGTAATTACATTTTGTCTATGAGGCTGGCCTGGACATCTATCAAAGAATTTTCAGGCTTCTTATTCTTCTTTCTTATAAGTTTTAAGACAATAAATAACTACTACACTACCTTTTAACTTATCTGTAACCATTCAACTGCTGTCATAATTATTTAAAACACCATTCTACAGTAAGTATGTCACCTATTGGTTTGTTGTACTCTTGGGATTGCTGAGCCTGGGACTGCTGGGAAACTGTTTTTGAAAAATCTTCATACACAGCTTCTTCTAACCACGGAAAACAAATGACTGCAAGATACCAGTGAGAGCTGTTGGAAAAGAAATACAATTTTAACATCCAATTTAAACAATGCAGAACACATTCGACAGCTAAATATGAGAAAATGAGTATGACTCACATTTCAAATAAATTTAAAATAGTCTACTGCAATGTTTTGACTACACATTAAAGCACATATTCCAACCTAATTAACCAAAGTTATCAGAACATAAGTAAAACTCAAAACCAAACCAAACCCACTGTCATCAAGTCAATTCCAACTCATTGTTGATGTTGTTAAGTACTGTTGAGTCAATTCTGACTCACAATAACCCTGTGTAGGGTTCCTAAGGAGTGGCTGGTGGATTTGAACCAACGACCTTGAAATCCAGTGCTTATCCTACCCTATATTGGGTTTCCAAGAATATAAATCTTTATAAGAGGAGATAGTCTCATTTTCGTTCCTTGGAACAACAGGGAGATTTGAACTGCTGACTCTGAGGTTAGTAGTCCAATGCTTATCCAACAACACTCCCAGAGCTCCTTTAAGTGAAACTGTTGTTGTTAAGTGCCGTTGAGTTGGTTCCAACTCACTGAGACCCTGCAGAGGGTTTCTGAGGAGCAGCTGGTGGGTTTAAATCGCTGACCTTGTAGTTGGCAGTCCAGTGCTTACCCTATATTGCAACACCAGGACTCCAAATCAAAGAGGTTTGGCTATGCAGAAGCTAAACCAACTTGACAATGACAAGAGATAAGGCTCTAGGTCCATAAATTTGCTGGTAGCAAATGTCAGAAGCCATCGAGTCGTTTGTGACTCATAGCAACTCTATAGTTTCTAGGACTGTAAACCTTTGTGGGAGCAGAAAGCCTCATTTTTCTTCAATGGAGTGGCTGGTGAACTTGAATTTCCAACCTTGTCGCCTGCAGTTTAGTGCTTATCCTCTAGTGCCACCACACTCTCTTAAGTAAAACAAAGACAGTAATTCCCAGAATTTAGAGACTCATGGTTAATAATAATTTTAAAAAAAAAACAAAAAACTTTTTTCAGGACTCCCTCCAATTTTGTTTATAAATAATATAAAATACTCACGATTCATTTACAGGTACAAAGATGTAATCTTTATTGAAAATGTTTATGTGACGAGTCCATGTTCTTACTCTTCTATGTCTTCTCTGTGCCATTCTGGGAAAATTAAAGATAGATTTGATATGTAAAAAATTTCTGAATGTAAAAAAATTTTAAGAGTTGTTTTTATATATTGAAAAATGCTAAATCTAGTTTATTTAACCATCTTCTTTTCTAAGATATACAATGGGGCTTCAAAAAGTTCTTGGAGATGGAATTAAAAGGTAACAAAATTCTTCCATGAACGTTTTAAAACCCCTTCATATAATTAACACACTAGAAAAATATTTTATGAACTCCTGGTTGTTCTTTAGTGAGAACACTATTTATAAACAAGAAAAGGACAGAAGAAAGGCAACAACATATAAAGTGCTTTGTAGTTTCTATAGGTGACTCAGTAACTGAGGTTATAAACACAAATATACCTATCAATTTTGCTTAGCTCTACAAGAGCATGATACAAAATATTATTATTAAACCTTGAGAGAATAGTCCAAATGGTATGTACCTGCTATATATAAATATAAAGGCTATATCTGTGATGAGGAAAGTATTAAAATTTAATGGAGAAAGAAATGATGCACCAATTATTAGATTTTTTTTTTTAAATGAAATTTACCTCCCTTCACTTCATATCTAAGAAAATTACAGGTCACGAGGTTACATATACCCACTATTCATCCATGTTTCCTTTTACTCTTCCAACAAATATTTAGTAGGTCTCTTAACGCATAAAAAAAAAAAAAATCACTCATACTATATTTATACTTTGCTACTGTTGTTAAGTGCCTTTGAGCCAGTTCTGACCCATAATAGTGACTCTGTATAGAGTTTCTGAGGAGCAGCTGGTGAGATTCAACTACCAACCTTGCGGATTAAACAGACTTTGCAGTCCAGCACATTAACCCACAGGTCCACACTAAGGAGGGTGAAAAAACTGCAACCGAGAGCTTAAATATAAGTGTTATAGAAGATACAAAGGAATTATTGTATAAAAGCAATTGTGTAGGACAGGTAACTAGATAAGGGCTGGCACATAACTACAAAAATATTAGTTTCTTTTCTTCAAATCATTATGGAAGGAAGGAATTTCACAAAATTTCACAAAATTAAGGAAGGAAGATACCAAATCAAGCTTCTGCATCAGAAAGGGTTTTTGTTTCTTTTTAAGATAATATTTAATAGTGGCATTAAGTCACAATATTTCTAGTTCAGTTTCTTGGAAGGAGCTCTTCTTATGCAGAGAATAAAACAAAATATTATAACAGATTTACATAACAAATCTGTTATGTAAATAAAGAATAAAGAGAAACCTTTATTCTTTCCTTGTTCACCTGAATAATAACTAACCAAAATGACATGGGATAGCTAGACATTAGATGTTAAATGGAATCCAAAATGGGTTACAAACTAAGGAGGGAGTTAAGCACTTTGTGGAAGATAAACTATATAAAATAAAATATGACTATCAAAGCTGCTAAATCCAGAATGACTCCACCATTATAATAATTATAAACAATTATTTTCAACTAGTACACAGTCTAACTTGTCTTCCATTTAAAGATCTTAAGGACACACACTTGGTTTTCTTATATTGTTACTGATAGATTTCCTTATTATGCTAACATTATTTGATTAGGAATATATTATTAGACATAGGGTAAAGGAGGGAGAGTAGGGAAGAATAAGAAGACCAAAATATGATCTCTTATTCTCAGCTCATAACTAAGTATAAAATCCTCAATTAATGATCTAGCAATTTGCTCAACAGTCAATAATATGCATTATTTGTTGTTGCTGTTATTAAGTGCCATCAAGTCGGTTCCAACCCATAGCAACCCTGTATAGGGTTTCCAAGGAGCAGTTGGTGAGCTCAACCTTGCAATTCAAATGCATTATTTACCATCTTTTAAGTAATTTTTTAGTTATCTGTTTTTGTTGTTGCTATCGAGTTGTTTCTAACTCACAGTGACCCTGTATAGGACTTCCAAGGAGCAGTGGGCAAGTTTGAACTGCAGACCAAGGAGGATATGGTAAATAGTACAGTGTTGATCTTACAGCACCACACCAGGAATCTCTCTAAGTTATGTAGTGGTGCCATGAAAGGAATATCACAATAGGATGGTTTTAGCAAACAGAAATTTATTCTCTCATAGTTCAGGAGGCTCGAAGTTCAAATTCAGAGAGCCAGATCTAGGGAAAGGGCTTCTCTGCCTGCTCTGGGGACAGGTTCTTATCTCGTTTCAACATCTGTGGGCCCATATCACTTTATCTTCCCCTAGGTCTAGAAGTTCCTCAGGACAGGGACTTAGTACAAATGACACATTCTACTCCCTGCTCTTCTTTCTTGATGGTAATGAGGTCTCTCTATTCTGTCTGCCTGCTTCACACAAAAGTCACCCAAGGAAATTCCCCTTACAATGGATAGGAATGTGATGGGAGTAAGGGCGTTACATCCCACCCTAATCTCTTATAACTGGTCACATCATTACGTAACTACCAATATACATCACTACATAACTGCCAAACTACATCATTACATAATTGCCAAGCCAAACAGAAACATATCTGGGGGGAATACAATTCAATCTATGACAAGCATCAAGTGTGCCCCAAGCACTGTGCAAAGCACAAGGAAAGAGTAAAAAATAAGATAAAGTCAGCTTATATTTTATGATGAAAAACAAACACTCAACAAGCAAAAACAAAAACAAAAATTAAATTAAATTAAGATAGACCAAACTGTGAGATACATAAAGAAAAGTGACAGAAAGAAAACATTTCAGGCATAAAATAGAAAAAGCTTAGTCTATTTAGAAACTGCAGGTGGTAGTTAAGGTAAAGCATGGTAAGTGAGGGGGCAGATTGCTGTGATGAGTTTGGAGAGATGAACATAAGTCAGATCTTGTAGGGTCTTATAAACCAAGGTAATGAGCTTATTATTTAGTATTGTTGTTATTGTATCACTCATCCATTTTGCATTTAGGTTATCTTTTTATTACTGATTTGTGGGGATTCTTTGCTAATGAATACTAATGGCTGGTCTAGTAAACACACACCAAGAGCATGCACACAAGAGAAAGAATGTGTCCTAGCTACTAATACCTTATCTAAGGTAAGTTTTAACAAGGACATTAGTGGCTCATGGGTACAACTCTCACCTTCCATGTAAGAGACTTGGGATTGCTTTCTAATCAGTGCATCTCATGTGTAGTCACCAGCTATCTGTGAGGAGAGGGATGCATGTTGCTATGATGATAAACAGGTTGGCAGCAGGCCTGGTGAGCTACTTTCAAAATTGAGTCAATGAAAACCCAATGGATCACAGTGATCCCAACCACAATCACGGGAATGGTGTAGAATTAGGCAGCATTTCATTCTGTTGTAAATGGGGTTGTCTTGAGAAGAGAGCCTAGTTTGACAGTAACTGACAACAACCACCAAGCTAAAACAGTAACTCCTTCCTCATTTTGCCCTTGTAATTCACTACTCTATAAATTTTAAGGTTAATCAAAAAATACTTGAGCAGCCACTTGGTTAAACTGCGCAAATATGGCATGCTTCATAATGTTACATCAGTTTAACTGAATAGCAGTATATTGATGACTATTCAACCAAGAAAAAAAAACAGAAGTCTACATACAAGGAGGCTTCAAAAAATTCATGGAAAAAATGGGATTAAAAGGCAATGGGATTTTCCCACAAATTCTTTGAATCCCTCTCATATCTGTAACAAAAAGCATTTAATGCAAGGAATAGGCAGAGTTGAGAGAACTGGTGAGCCAAATTAAGGGACAGTGAATTGTTGCTGTTAGGTGCCATCGAGTCGGTACTGACTCACAGTGACCTTATGCACAGAAGAACGAAACACTGCCCAATCCTGGGCCAACCTCACTACTATTGCCAC